AAGTCCCACCTCCGGCCCAAACTTACTGCATGACTTTGGGTAAGTGCCTTCCCTTCTCTGAGCCTCTTGATCCCCAGGGGTGAAACAAGGAGGACGTTTCATGGTCCCCAGATTCTCTGACAGATCTCCCAGGTAGAATGGTCTCCCACCACTTACTGGTTCCTGTCCCAACAACCCAGGCCCCTTTAACCCTTCCAATTCTGTCAACAAATAGTGACATAAAACCTACTCTGTCAGTGATCATGCAAGATGCTGGGAACACAGCAGTGAAGATGATGACAAAGAGTCCCTCTCCTCCCAGAGCTTACGGTCTAGACAGTGGGGGCCAGAAAATAAATCAACCTGCAAGTGCTCAGGGAGTAGCCAACATTATTAAGTGCTGGAAAGGGAAAAGCAAAAAGGAAGGTGCTCTGGGGAGAATAACCTCAGATGGCATAGTCGGGAGGACTTCTCTGAGGAGGTGACATTTGAGCTGAGACCTAAAGTACAATAATGGGCCAACTGTGCGAAGAGAAGAAGGAAGAGTGTTCTGGGCAGAGGCAACAGCTTGTGCAAAAGCCTCAAGGTGGAAAACAGTTTGGAATCTTCAAGCAGCCAAGAGGCCAAAGTAGCTAGAGGGGTGTGAGGGTGAGGTGTGGTTGGGGAGCTTGGCAGGGGTCAGTCCCTGAGGCTCCCTGGTCCTCCTCAGCCCCTTTCCTCTGGTCCTCTGGCCTCCTTGCCCGACCCCCCTAGGCCTGCTCCAGAGAGAGGCTCCAGGTACTGGGGGCAGGGCTGGGTGAATAACAAGGTTACACGTGCTTCTTCTTTTCCCTTTTCTCCAGGAGAAGCATAAAGAGCTCTTTCTTTTCTGCTTATTAATAGCTCTGATTAAATTATCTCTGAAAAATCTACGTGGTATGCACCAATGGGGGCTCGGCTCCCTCCAGGCTTTGGCCTAGATTACGGCAACGAGGGCAGGTGAGGCAATTGGGGGCTGGGAAGAGAGGCTTGGGCAGGCCTGCTCCCCCAACCAGGATAAAGGTTCAGTGTCTGCCTCTCTGCTTCCTTCCCCAGCCTCATCTCAGCCTCTGACCCACATATACTCTTGGGACATTCACAGCTCTCTTGCTTTGGACATCAGGCCTTTGCAGCAGCAATTCCCTCTACCAGGAGCACTCTTCCCTCACCTCTACCCTTGGCTACTTCCTACTCACATTTCACAGGCAGCTGATCAGGGTTTCCACCATCACTAGCTGGGGCAGGGGCCTGTTCTGGGCTTTCCCCTTGCCTATTACTCTGGATGATTACTGCTAGTTGCCTTCTCTGTCCCCCATGAAACTTGAGTTCTGTGAAGCCAGGGACTATGTCTGGGTCTGTGCTGAATCCTCAGTGGCTGGCACAGGGCAGGTCCTTAGGAAATGATGGATGAATGAATGAATGAATGAACGAACGAACGAACAAACGAATAGAGTTCAAAGGGGAATGATCAGGCCTCAGTGAGTGAGGGCATGACTAACCTTACATAAGTGGGAGGGTAGAAGCAAAAGTTCCAAGTGCCAGGCCCCTTGCAGTGGCAGTTAACCCTACTTCACAGATGGGGAAAACTGAGGCACAGAGCAAATGAGTTACATGGCTAGTAACCTGAAGAATCAGGATTCAAATCCAGTAAGTCTGATTCCCCTTCCTCCTCTTCTTTCTGTTTTGCCTATAAGAGAACAAAACAAAAACCCAGGCCACATTCATTCATTGATTCAGAGATTAATTCAACAAACTTTTATTGGGTGCTGACTGTATGCCAGGCCTGTGTTGGGGATAAAGTGGTTCGAATGCAGCCACTGTCCTCACAGAACCCTCAGGTTGGTGGGCAATACTGACAAAAATAAGTGGGCCATTGCAACACAGACTGGGTACATTTATGAAGAGGGAAGCACTCCAGCTGGAAGGTGGCAGTTAAGAAAGTCTTCTTAGAAGAGGTGGCAACTTAGCTGAAATCTGAAAGAGGAGCAAGAATCAACTACCTGGAGAGAAGATATTCTAGGTAGAGGGAACAGCTTGGGCAATGATCTGGGAGCCCAGGAGACACATGGGAGAATGTGCGGGTATTTCAGCAAGGCTGGTGTGTAGGGGGTATACATGGGCAGTGAGAAATGAGGTGCTCTCTGTCCCCCAGTTTCTTCAGGGCCCCTTAGACCCCTGGCTGGAAACAGCATTCAGGAGCTGGCCTGCCTGGTAGTTCTGTGGACCGTGCACATCCATCTTGACACTGCCTCCATTCACATAATGCAGAGTTATTGGACATGACCAAGAGCAAGGGGAGGCTGGGAGCAGGGGGAAATGAAGGCCTGATCTCAGGGATGTGGGCATGTATGGGGTGGTGTGGGGTGATGGGCACTATGAGTGCTTGTGGGGGAGACATAAGTGAAGTCCAGAGACTGAGCATCTAGTGGTGGGGGGTGGGTACCTGGAAGTCACCTCTGCACCTACATAGCTACCTTTGAGTCTGCTGCTGCCTGAAATCCCACCATTAGCACATCGTGGACTCGCAGACTTCAGAGATGGTAGGGCGTTTGAGATCTTCTAAACCCTTGACTGTAAAATGGAATCACATGGGAAACTTTGGCAACCACTGAGGCCAGGAGGGGGTGCCAGCTCCTGAGTCTGATAGGTTGGGTTGTGAGCCCCACCCTCCATTATATAGCAGAGAAAACTGAGGTCCATAGAGGAGAAGAAACTTGCCCTTAAGGTCACACACAGTCAATTAGTGGCTAGCACTGAGTGCAATAAATCAAGGTTGGGGGCACTGGTATTTGGGACCTGGTTCTGTCATTGTATGACCTTGTGCAAATCGTGCAGCCTTCCTCCGCCGTAAGAGGTGGGTAATAATCGAACAGACCTCACAGGATTGCTCTGAGGGTTAAAAGAGATAGAAATATAGATATAAATAGCTCTGAGCACTGCCCGGCCCATAGTTGGTGTCAAGTCATGGTAGCCTACGATGGAAAAAAAAATCCCAAACTTTAGAAAAGCTATGATGTGGCCTGCTGCCTTCTTCCTCCCTTTCCGCCTTCTCTTTATTCCCAGGGTTTTGGTTGTCGTGGTCCCTTGTCCTGCAACTGGCTTGAGTGTGCCATGCATTCTCCCCACCTGTCTATGCCCAGGGTCCACCCAGTGCATTGTCCAGGCAACCCACTCTGACGTCACTGACAGTTCAAGAGGCTGGCTGCCCAGCTGAAGCAGCTGGCAGCAGGATCAAGTTTCCAGATAAATCCCCACTCCACCCCAACTCCCCAGGGGTCGGGTGGGGCTGTAGGGAGAACCAAAACTGAGCACCAAAGCCCTGGGAACCGTGCTCATGGCGGCTGCTCAGCGGCCTGAAACAGAGCCAGCTCCTGCCCTAGATAAGGTGGCAGGTGGCCTACTTGGGTTGGCCCTGAGCTCCCCTGTGGGTGCCTCTCCCAGGTTCTGGGTAGAGGTGGGTTGGCTCCTGGAAGTAGGCCAGGGCTGACTATAGTGAGCTCATCCCACTAAGTAAATTCACCGGGGTCTCCAAAGCCCTCTACTTCTTGATAACTAGAGATGGTATTTATTGAGCACTTACTGTGTTCTGAGTCCTTTCCATGCAATAACTCACTTTGCCCTCACAACAACCCTGTAAGATAGGAATCATTAAACACAGACAAGAAACTGAGGCACAGAGTCATGAAGTTAAACGTTCAAGGCCAGCGGTTAGCAAAGACAGGGCTGGATCGCCACCCACAGGGGACTCCAGCGTGTATGGGTGGTGTGCACATGGACATAGCCTAAGGGTGGGGGGAGTTCTGGCTGCTGCTTTGCATTTTTGTAGGGATCCTGAGGTCTTTCCTGGAAAGCTGGCTCCCCAGCTTGCTGTGTGATGGACACATGGCAACTGAGGGAATTGTTCCTCCCAGGACTCAATTTTCCAGCTGTGAAATGGGACTGCTAAATGGGTCACTCATGAGCTCTCAGGTAGACCAAATGAGGACCTATGAAGCCGCTCAGAAAGTAAAAGGCAAGGTACAGTATAGTTTAATAGATTCAAAATTTGGATCCCAAGGGATACTGTGCCTCAGTTTCCCCATCTGTTAAGTGGGGGAGAATATCTGTGCCTGCCTCCCATGTTTGTCCTGAAGATTCCATGAGGTGGAGCTTATCGAGAGCTCAGCATGGTGCCTGGTTATATAGTTAGTGCTCCAGAGATCTCAACTGTGATGCCAAAAATCAATCACTGCCAGAAATGTGCTTTGGGGCAAAGTACTCTAAGATAGAGTGTCATGTCATGTCTCTTAACCTCAATTTCCTCTATACGTTGGGAATATAATAATAGTATCTACCACATCAGTTTTCACATCTGTAAAATGGGTGTGTGTGTGTGTGTGTGTGTGTGTGTGTGTGTGTGAAGATAGTGTTAGCTTATTTTATTTATTATTTTTAACAATTTGCTACCAAATATGTGCTCAATAAATGATACTGGTTTTCCCACCCCGGTACCCGACACAGGGACTACAGGTACCAGCATGCGTTACATCTCCAGTCGGGGCCCCTCCGCCCGGCGCGGGCGCGTGGCATACAGGGAGTTGCAGTCCTCCCGGGGCTGGCCCCTCCTCGCCCCAGCTTGGGGGAGGAGGTTGGAGAGCCGCCCTGCCGGCCTTTGAATTTTGCCGCGAAAAGCGCGCGTGGCGGCGCCTGGCCACGCCCCCAGCAGGACGCGGCGCCGCGTCACCCTGGTAACCGCCTCTTGGCCGTCGCTGATTGGGCTGGACCGCAGGGCGGGCGGGGAGCAAGACGCCGCGGCGGCTGCCGGCGCTCGTGCCTGTCAGTCGGGCCGGAGCGGAGCAGCGGGCAAGACAGCCGGGCCGGCGGCTCTGAGAAGAGGCTGCGCTAGCTAGCCTGGGAAGGCAAAGAGCCGGCCTGCCACCTGCGGGGCGCGGCGCCCGGGCCTGAG